GCTTAGCTGCAATGATTAGCAATTAGCTCTAAAGATATAAAAAGGATATAAATTTCTCCAAGTTAACATTAGACCTGCACCATCTACCTCTTAGACCCAGACTCCCCTCTTCCCTAAATTCTCTCTTGTAATATTATAGGATTCTTTAGAAATAGGAACCTAAGGATAGCCTATCATATTCTCTCTAATAAAACATATATTTTATTTATAAACTATTGTCTGCCCGAACTGCTACAGACAGAAGGATATAGTTTCTAGTTATAGTAGAAATTATAATTACCTGTTGGATACCGCTATAAACCTGTAAAGGATCTCTGTTGCCGTGTCATTGTTATAGTACTGCTGTTAAGAAGGTCACGGTAATACTACCTATAATTATATCAACTTTAAACTTAATCAACTCAAATCTTTTAAAATTATAACTCTATTCAATAAATTATCTACTTCATACTTTTATTATATTAGATATTTTTATATTTTTAATAATCCTAACTGTTTTTTTTTTAATAATTTAAGGATCTTCTTTAGTATAGGTGAGCATATATAAATTATTACAAGATTATAATATATAAAACCTAATTAATTTGAGCTAATTTAAATTCTAACCTTAACCCTAACCCTAATAAGTTATAAAATTATTTAAATTAGTTCAAAATATCTAATTTATATATATTATAATTGTATAATAATTATATATACCCATCTATACTAAAGATCAACCTAATTTAAATTCTATTTCATATTGAAGAGTTTGTTCTAACTTTACTATTCTTTTCAATATTATTACTAATTCTATTTCTAAACTTATTTTCAACTTAGTACTAAACTTATCTAGCAACCAAACTTATAAACTTATTAAAATAATTCAAAAACATAAAGTCTTCAATAATATACAACTTAGACCTTATGAACCCTTTCTGAATATTATACTCAAAGGCTTTATTTCTATATCTCTAGTTCAAACTATTCAAAAATTTAATATTCTATATAAACTGATATTTCAAACTATTATCAAAATTTTACTTAGAATTAATAAGCTTATCTATAAACAATTATGAAAACTGTACTGTTGAAATTTTTCAAATTAGAAAAAGCAAAATAAAATCATTCTGCTTTATAACTAATCTCAATTACAACAACCTAGCAACAGAATTTTAAAACGAACTCACAAAGCTTATATGGGGTCTTTGCTAGGAAAATAGAGTTCCGAGATTCCTCTAGCCAAAAATGAGATTTTATATATATCTTATTATGTGGCATAAGAACTTCGTTTGGTGTTATTTTTATAATATATTGTTATAGTATTAAAGTGAGTTATTTCATCTCGGATTTTTGAACAAAGAATTTTTTGAAAATCTAAAAATAGAATCGATGTACATCTATCACGTGATTAATGTTCATCATATAAATATGAATACGTACTGTACGTACTATTCATCATTCTATTTCGCCTTTTACTCAACTATAATTATATTGCCTTCTGCTATAATTTATATATAGCATTAATAATAAAAAGTTCACTATATTGGGAAAGCTTTACATATACCGGCCTTTGAGCTTTACTATATCGAGATTTTAATTAGTTTTCACCATATCAAGAATTCTTTATAACGAAAGTAGCTTGTACCTTTTTTATCATTATCGTAATTATCATATTCGTTCAATAATACTACCTACTTTCACTTTATTATTTTTCTTTTTATTTGAAAAAACATAACGATAGAGTTCAACATCATGATGCACAAGGTTTTAAATTTATAACTTACCGGATTTATCTTCTAGCAAATTTGATCAGTCACAGATAATTAAATTCGATTAAAATATCTATCTTTTACTGATGCTGAACAGATTTGTCAGTGTTAAATCTGGTAAAGTATGAAGTTCAATCTTGAAATCTGGTTTCTTCTAGCATAATTCAAATAACAAAAATGTTAGATTTTTCTTTATATAGCAGATACGTATATTTTATTTTTTATTGATTTATTTTTTTTTTATAATTATATATTGAATAACTACCTATTTTTCTGCTTTTTGAATTGCTGCTAAAATGATTGCATCACTATTACTTTATTTTTTTATTACTTTATCTTTTTATTACTGTTTCATATATTTCATTATTGCTGCTATTTATTTATTAATTCATTTTATCGTCATACCTCTACTATTTATTATATTTTATCATACTTCATTATTCATGCTTATCGATATTAAAATAGTTATTCGGAAGATAATTAATCTTATTTATTTTTATTTTTAGTTTTACCTGGCTTCATACAATATAAGTCTTTGTACGGATCCTCTACATATTGTCTAATCTTTGTATATAAGTAGCATTTTCTTTCATCAGTTAATTGTTTTGTACGTATAGTTTCTAATGGGGTATTTATATCAAATGTTTTATTATTTAGCAATTGAAAATCTATTTCTATTCCACCTGATTCCTTTGACACATATACCTTTCCAATATCTGTAGACAAATTACTGAATCTAAAATGATGATATTGCGTTATATGGGGGAAGTTTGTAAAATGGTTTTTCAATAATGAAGTAAAATTATACCAGGTCCAACCCAAACTATTATTATATTGAATTGCCTGGTTTCCTTTTGCTGATTTGTTAACGATCTCTTCTACATCATCCATAGTATTAACTTTTTGATTCCTATATTTTTTTTTTATTTGACCAAAAAACGAATCGCATATAAACTTTGTATGGCCCGGAATCATAAAGTTTACAGTAATCTCATTATACCAGCCTAGCATTGTTAGCCAAGAATAAAAAAAAAGAGTTAAATTATTTTTGTTTTGGGCGCCGCAGTTGTCGCAAGTTACATGCAATTTTTTTTTTCCAGTTCGAGCAAATTTTTGAAGAAAATGATATACCATATTAAGCGTAGTGTTAGAACCTTTTGAAATACCTTTAGGGATTTCATTTTCACCTATCATAAAATTTAATTGAAAGTTTTGACCACCTTCAGTTTTATATACGCCAAATAAATATATAGAAAATGGGCTTTTAAAATATATTGATCCTATTTGCTGCGGTGAATATGGAATTGATAAACTTTGTGCCCAATCATAACATACATGTGCAACAGATAAATCATTTTTACTTTCATCTATATTATTATTATAATGTTGTCTTTCTTTTTCAGCTGCTTTACGATGTTGATCATATTGATTTTCAATTTGTTCATATTTGTCTATATTAGATTTTGCAATAATTAATCTGGCTTTAAAAGTTTCACAAACTTCGCATAAATCACTTGCGGGTGGTTGAAACTTAAGATGTGGCATCATCTTATGCCAAAGCCTTCTAAATGTAAAATATGATATAATATTTTCAGTATCATTATGTTCATTATAAAAATGTTCTTTAAATTCGTTATAAACAGAAGTATATGTTTTGCCTGTTGGTAAATAAATAAAAAGTTCTGATTCATTTTTATGACACATTGAAGATGGAAGCCCATGAATAATCGCATATTGGTCTAAAAAGTTTTTAACAGGAAAAGTAATGCTTGAATCAAGAAATACTTTACTTTCTCTTATAGCTGCGTGCCCAGTATTATCATAAATTCGTTCTACTAATCCTTCACTATGTAAATGATCTTGTAATATTGAAAGAAAATATTTATTTATTCCACAAAGTTTTAGAAATGCGGGCTTACAAAGCGGATAAGATGAATTATAAGCATATCTAAAATTATATTTTTGTTGAGTTTTTTCTAATTTAAGATTTGTTATTTCAAAAGCCATCAATTGTGCTTTTAGGAATAATTCAAGCTCAGATTTTTCTAAAGCTCGTATTTGTAAATGTCTTTCAAAAAATTTTTTAAATCCTACTTTTTCATAACATGTTCTTAAATCTTTTGATTTAGGTTTTGGACGACATTTACAATTCGAATTATTAAAAAATTGCATTAAATCATACACGGTATTAAGAACCAATTCATTATCTTCATATTCTTCTAAACCCAGTTCTATTAAATTATAAACTGATATCGAATCTAAATTTAAATCTTCATTTGATGATATTGAAATTATTATGCAAAGTTTTATTTAGATTTATAATATTTATTCAAGAATGGGCTATTTACAATAGCTATATTTATACAAAATTTAAGATATCAAAAGTATCGCATTATATATCTTGTTGGGTTATACTGTACATACGTACTAATAAGTTATTTCAGACTAGAGGTATTACTAAATAGGATTGTAGGCATAGAAAAAATTAAGAATGTTTCTAATTTTCTAAATTAAAGGTATTCCTTCTATACATGCTTCCAAGTTTTATTATACGATGATTCTTTTACATATCACTAATCGAAAATGATCAAATCAATATCAGTTCACCCTAATTGAAATTATATGAATTTGTTACCGAATGTGCTGAATGTATACTGGTCTTTGACAGCATTCTGCGAGCAATCTGCAGCAATCTGCAAGTTCTGCCAATATTCAGATAGTTGACTAGTTGAATACTAACAGAATACTGTTATAAACCAGTATACATTCGGCATATCCGGCAGCCAATTAATATAATTTTAACTAGGATAAACTAATATATACTGATTTTTTTCATGTTGACTAGTGGCCCTAATGAGTAAAAGTCTCTAGAGACTAAAGGTTGTGTTGGCTGTGCAGGCTGTGCAGGCTGCGCAGCCTGTGCAGTAGTTTCAAAAAAACCTCGATTTTCCCATCTCTAGGCATGCCCTTTCAAATATACTTTTGAGGCATGCCCTAAGACACCATGTCTACAACTCTATTCTAAGTCTGGTCAAAATAGTAATAATAACTTGGAAATTATTGACTAGAAGGTTTTAAAATTATTTATTTTATAAAATGGATTTTGAATAGGGTTTTTACTATCGCTATTTTAATAACTCGGAAAAATAGAATAAGGCCTTCTAACTTTAATTTTAAAACCTCCTACATACTAAAAGTTACTTTTTGCCCGCTAAATAAACCAAATAAAGAAATGAGTGCGTAAGAGTAAAAATCTGTAACCCCATAATAAATCATTAAATACAGTTACAGATTTTCACTCTCACGCATTCAAATAGATAAGAAAATAATTATCATTATGATTTTATTCGGCAGTATTGTATTGAATAGATAAATTTGGAGTGTGTATTATGACACTTTTCAAATATAATATTATAGAAGATTCCTACGTATTTAGATTAGTACTAGTTAGTTAGCGTTAAGATGTTTTAGATACAGTATAATTATCAATGCGTTTAAAGAAAATATGCATAAAGTGATTAAAGCATTATCATTTGACGCTTGCATTATTCATATGTCACTACATTTATGTGTTCTGTCTCTTTTTGATCACGTGAATTGGTAATTTTGGGTTATTGTTTCACAAAATTTTTGCTATTAAATTGACCCTCCGAGATATTGTTACACAAAATTATCTAAAAATAGCACTGAATTTGATGAACAATAATTCGTGTAACATAAAATTTATTTTGATTTTATACAAATCAGATGATCAACACCGGAGGGTCATTTTGTTAGCAAAAACCCCATATTTACTCATATTAGTATAGTCAATCAGACCAACTATACACTAACAATTCTTGTTCACCACTAGGGCAGGCTATCTATAAACTCAAAATCTTTAACATACTATGGATCAACTATAGTATATCTTTTAATTATATTTTATCTATTACAATTTAGATAAGTTTTTGACTACTTTAGTAGGTTTAGATTGCAGATAAAGTAGTCTGAGCTTTTATTCTTGTATATAGTTTTTACTTTTGGGTTTAAAAATTCTGTGCATCTGAACAGTTATACACTCTGTAATCAACCAATAAAAACTGATCATATAAATACGTGATCCATCACTTATAATCGACTAATAAAAAATTTATTGATTAAAAAAAAGCATAACATACAATAATAGTATAATTATAAAAAAAAATATATATATATATATATACAATACAACGAATACAAATCATATCACCACAACAAAACTAGCACTAATACAAAACTAAACTAAACAAAGGTACCAATTCGGGCTCTGGTCACACCTATATAGAAGTTTATGACAGAAAAGAGTTAAGATTTACCAACATTAATGCGACACCAACTAGAAATAGCTAGCTAGAAGTGATTTAGCTTGCCACTTAAGTAATTTCG